GCCCTTTGTCTTTCTAGCCCAAGGGCAAAGGAAAGTCAGCAAGGAAAGAGTGAGGGTGGGAGGGTCCCTGCCTTGAGGAAAGGAATGGAGGCCTGCTTACTAACAGCACATTTTATGGAGGCTCAATTGGGTCAAAAGCTGCTCTCTGGGTCCTGGTGTGTAAACAGCTGGGAATGGGGTGGGGACACAAGTCCCAGAAACCAGCTGGCGCCTGAAGGACCAGGTGGCGTCCTTCGCCCCATCCAGGGCCCCCAGAGCAGATGGCTTGGGCAACAGCGCCCTCTAGTGGATAGTAGTGGACAGACTAGGACTACCATGGGAACACCAGTTAGATTATCACCAGGGCAGAGCATCCAAGGGGAAGGGGCTGTGAGGTCTTCTCCACAGCAGAGGCCCCTCTTAGCGCACACATGCTGTAAACGCCCCTAGGTAGCACTCACTCCTTTAGGCAGATTAGACATTATTTGTTTTTGCTGGCACTGGGATTTGAACTCAGGGCCTCTTGCCTGTTGGACTTAGCTTGAGAGTTTGGCACTCATCACTTGAGGCATCTAGGCTACACATTATTTGTTAGAAAGTGCTAACGTTTTTTGTTTGTTTGTTTGTCGTGGGATTTGAACTCTGGGCCTGGGCGCTGTCCCTGAGTTCTTCAGCTCAAAGCCAATGCTCTACTACTTGAGCCTTGAGCCACAGTGCCACTTCTGTGCTAATGCTTTTTGGAAATATGCTTTTCAGAAGGACCTTCCTATTTTTTTTTTTGGCCAGACCGGGGGCTTGAACTCAGGGCCTGGGCACTGTCCCTGAGCTTCTTTTGCTCAAGGCTAGCACTCTACCACTTGAGCCACAGCGCCACTTCCAGCTTTGTCTGTTTATGTGGTACTGAGGAATTGAACCCAGGGCTTCATGAATACTAGGCAAGCACTCTACCACTAGGCCACATTCCCAGCCCATGGACCTTTCTAATTGTGTGAGTGTGTGTGTGTGTGTGTGTGTGTGTGTGTGTGTGTTAGTACTAGGATCTGAACTCAGGGCTTCAATGGTCTGGCTTTTTTTGCTCAAGGCTGATGCTCTGCCAGCTGAGCCACAGCTCCACTTTGATTTTTTGCTGGTTAATTGGAGATGAGATAATCTCATGGACTTTTCTGCAAGGGCTTGGGTGTGAATTGTGATCCTCAGATCTCAGGCACCCAAATAGCTCCAATTATAGCCACTTGTGCCCTAGATTCTCCCAAATATTTGAATACAACTTCTGCCCATTCCCTGCCTGCATTCTTCGGAGTGGAAGGGCTCTAAGGTGTGGGGGAGCACTCAGTGGCAAAGACACTTTCCTGGAATTAGCTTTTCCTACCTTGCAGAAATCCCAGGTGACGGGGCCTCATGGCATTGTTGGTAGGCTGGAGGGTTGAGATCACCTCTACTACCCCAACAGGCCTGCACAGTCCTAAGCAACTGTGAGGATTTAAAATTTAAATGTCTTTGTGGGCAAGATAAACACACCTACTGCTCAGCAGGAAAAGGGAAACTTGGCAGTGGCCCCAGACCTTTCCCCGCCCCCAGCCCTCTTTAAACTTCCTCTTGTGGTTTCTCGAGAGTACAACCTGTTCTTCACAGAGGAGGAAGGAGATGGGGCAGAGGGGTTGGGGTGCGGGGGGGGGGGGGGGGGGGGGGGGGGGGGGGGAAGGGGGCAGTCGACAGAAGGGGGGAAGGGGTAGGGTGAGCAGAGCTGCAGCCTAAGTGGAGACCTGTGAAGTTCTGGGTTTTCATGGGGTACCCTGCTCCGTCCCTCTATCCTCAAG